CTCACACAATAAGTGCGGCTCATAGACTGACATTTGAAAAATCTGCTCAGGGTAGCTGGGTTCCCAATGGATGCATACACTTTTAAAGTCGATCTAACTTAATGAGGCTTGAGCCAATCAGCATTATCATATCTCTAGAAATATTTGTATATCACTGCCGAAGATGGTTTTGCATTCTTTCCATGAGTTACCCGTGAAGCTCTCACGGTGATTTACTGAAGCAACACCACAGGTACCGAATAAAAACTGTCTAGGTAATTCAGAAAATTGTACGCTGGTGGTTTAGTGGTATAATACTTGCCAACTAAGTACGTGGTTCGTAGTTCGATCCCTAGTCGATGCGCTCTTTAGCCTCGTGTAGTCAGCAGTAAGCTCAGTAAAGGAGGAACGTTGGGCGTTAGGATGAACGCTAGTGTTACTGGAACTTTAAGCTCAATTTTGAAGACCTATGTTCCACTGGGAACGCGAAGAAACATAAAACAAGCCCTTAGAATATGAGTATGGCTTTGGCTTGATGCCTGATTTTCCGGGTAATTGAGCTTAGAATAAATTAAACAGTAATATTCTGAATAGGTGTTTTGTTGAAAAACAATAATAGAGTCATTTTGGAGTATATTTAAGGCAAATGATAATAGAGAGCATTGTGAGATGCAGTGGTCCTGCTGAAGGCCTGTGGTTCACTCGGAATTCAATGAAATAACAATAATAATAATACGTTGTTATCCCCCATTTTCCGTAGTACCTTAATTGGATAGTCAGCAAGTTTCAGCCCAATCAGAATCCATCCTCTGGATGCAATCGAATCTCAGTGAGTAGGGATATGCTCACTCAGACTCATACCTAGCAAGCCTCGTTTAAAACATGGAAAGCGTAGTTCGATAAATTTTGTACAACAGATTAATTGAAGTAAAAAAGAAATTTCTTCAGTCCCAAAAACACCATTTTGTATAGTCATTAATTTTTATCAAATTTTTAAATTTCTTTCGATATTAACTTATGTAAATTAAATCCCATTTTCCTGATGTTTATGTAATCAAAGAGATAGCGATTTCATATGAAACTATTCTCAACAGCAGAAAGCAGCAGAGAAGGATAAGTATCCAATTACTCTTATAAGAAAAATTGTGTTTCTCTCAACTGCTGTAATTAGTGAAAACTTATTAGTGCTTTGAAGTTGATTACTGAAACAAAATTATCTTCCTTTACCAGTAATATCGTCTGTAACAAGTTGCTGAATTGCGGAATTCCCTTGCATAATGCAGCATCTTATTAGGGATGTATATTGTAATTTTTATCATCACAAATATGAAGTTTTTCAATATAAACTTGACAGTCAAAATGACTGTTTTCATAACTGCTATTAGTAGGTATATTTTCATATTATTATACTCCTTGTTTCCGACTGGAACGAAGAGATTCAGCAACACATAGCCACTAGACTATATTCCCTCTCAAGTCTCTTCTACCTGGCTGCATAATGCTTCACAAGCTCTCGTTAACTTCACACGCAGTCTATTCCATGTCAGCGTAGACCTTACACTGAACATTTAGTTTCCGATTCAGGTCTAATATAGCCGCAAGAAGAGCAGTTTCGAATTTACGGACTGCACAGAGTATCAAACCCATCTCCATTTCTTCTATATATATTTGCTTGACTATAGGTGCTTGGTTGGCTCACTGACATACTTTCTTGTCGCTTATCCTTCACGGTCAACTGATCTTCAGTTGGTGATGAATGATTGAAGCTTATTTGAAATGATTTTGAGTTTGTATGACATAAGGCATGTTTTGAGATTCCCTGCAATCACTTTCAGCTGACTTCAACGTTATCCACTTGCTTTTTTCAAATGATCTACTGTAGGTCATGTTTAGATGATCAACCTATCGTTTTCTAATCGCGAAGTTACCTATCATATATCTATTTGACCTTTAGAAAAATCAGTCTTATCTATAATCTGTTGAATGCAATTTGAAATATTACAATTGAGTGCTAAACGATAAGTTACTAAGAAGCTTCACTTCAGATTTATGTAATCCAAAATTGCAGTTTTATTTAGTTATTTTTATTATACTTTTACGTTCCCAGTAGGACATAGGTCTTCAAGTTAGACGCTTGAAGTTCCTATAGCAGTAGTGTTTATTTTTAGGGGTTGGAGTTGCTAGTGTCATGCCCAACCTACAGTTTTTACCAGTCTCATTACTGGTTTGACAAAGTAAAGGAGTGCATCTGCCGGGTATTGAACCCTGGTCCACATACGTGGTTGGCGAGCATTCTACCACTGTACTACCAACGCACTACAACTGCATTTTTACAAAAAGCTAATTTCTTAAGGAATTTCTCACTATTTAAGTGGGATTTCGCCTGACAGCAGAGAAAGTGAAACCTGCCAGCTTTTAGCATAAAACACTCAAAAAAAAAGAAGCGAATGTAACAGAAATACATGGTATAAAAGGAATTGAAAATCCCCCTTGAGTCATATGAAAAAAGAGATGTTCAGCGAAGAAACTCTTTTCAGCGTATTCATTCACATAGCTATACAATGGCATTTACATATAATTATTTGTGTGTGTGTACATGAGGTCTGTCAAGTTTAGATCATTGATCAGGTAATGATCTAATTTAGAAACAAGGTTAGTTGGACAGCAACTAAAGTAAGATTGAGTTAACAGGTTAGATGACGTAGTATAATTGACTGAAATGTTTCAACTTAGTTCAGGGTAGACAGAGGTAATTACAGGTAGAGACTAAGTAGAGGTGGGGTAGAGAATAATGCCATTTAAATGAGGGCTGAAATTGAGCTAATATATTGGATGATGTAACACAAATGACTAGAAATTGAGTGTTGGTCATGTCCGGACACCAAGGTACACCGCAAACAAACTTCAAAGTCGTCTACAGAGTAAGAAGTAGTTTTCCTAAAGGTGTACGAATCGGACTTCTTCAAACTGCAGAAGCAATGCCCATTCACTTGCTAAGCCCTGAACTGTGCATACAAAAGAAGTTCGTTCAATCACTATACTTGCAATGGACGTAATCTATCTTATTAGCCGATATGTAAATTCTACCTAATCTTTTCTTCTGTCCCTTCATTAGTATTATTTTGTCTTCTCAATTGTAATATTTTACATTTTCAACTTTCTTATTCTCTACCTGCACCCGTTTTAATTTCTACACCTCACTACCACTGTTACTGACTTGACCAACGCTCAATTTCTAGTCATTTATGTTACATCATGCAATATATTGGCTCAATTTTAGTCCTCATTTAAATTGCATTATTCTCTACCCCAACTGCACTAAGTCTCTACCTGTAATTACCTCTGTTGCTATTCTGACCTATGTCGTGACATTTCAGTCAATTATTTTACGTTATCTAACCTACTAACTCAATCTTACTTTAGTTGCTGTCCAACTAACCTTGTTTCTATATTAGATCATTCTTGTATTACCTGATCAATTATCTAAACTTGACAAACCTCATGTACACACACAAATAATTATATATAAATACGATTGTACAGCTATGCGAATGAATTCGCCAAAAAGAGTCTCTTCGCTGAACGTCTTCTCTTTTTCATATGTAGAGAGTTTTGTAACGACGAAATCAGTATTCACCAACCATTGAATCTCGTCCCACCGAATTACTCACTGTATGGTTGCTGCATAATCCTATTATCATGAGTTCGATCTCTAATGTTATCTAATATGTGTGCAATTGAAGCATTTCAAATGAGGAAATCTGTGTTCCAGTGCTCTGTCATTCTCGGAGTTGCTTTAACTGATGGGCGTTAGTGAATCAGACCCCTATGCACTAACACTTGATAATTGTTATACGGGTAAAACTTGGGCACTATGGTAGAGCATAATTACATTATGGATAAAATTTTATTTCGATAAAATCACACAGTGTTACACAGTACGACTTAAATGAAAATGTCTTTAATTTGTCACAAGACTTGAAGACCATTGTTCATTTAATCTACATATAATGGCTGTTCACAGTATTTTGTTCCTAATGATACTACAGCTAAGTGGGTATAAGATGAATTATTCAGAGAGATTTCACCCACACCAGGACAGATGTACAAGACATTTTCATGAAATACGAACGCATCTTACACAAGAACATTCAAAACTTGTAATGCTTAGCAAACGAATCATTGGAGAACCCTATCTTTCATTTCTCTTAATACCAACTAACATCACTAGCAATGGAAATCAGTGTTTTAGCAACCCTACATCCTATCCTGGCTGGCCTAGTCAGTGAAGTTAGGAACGTTTGTCAGTGTCCCCTCTGCGTTATCTTACATCCCAAGTTATATTTCAACAACAAAGATCACTTCCATCATTCAGTGATACGAAGTTACTAATGACCAAAGACCATTCATGCATAGAAGTTATTTTTATTCCTTGTTTTCTGAATGATATGTAGGGCTTCAGCCCTTTTACTTTTCAGAACAGGTATATGTTTCCACGCTATAAGACTGCTATTCTCACAATCAGACCTCTCACTCTTTTGAATTACTTTCGTTTAGTAAACCGGGAATGGTATACGAGTGAGGCAGATGGAAATCCATTTCGGATCTCCTCTATGACTGCAAACCGTTCTGCTATTAAATTACCGATGAAGATGGCACAAAAAATATGCTGAATACAATGAAGACAGATAACATACACGCTGAGGAATTCGTTGAGTGATTTCGCTCTCTAGTCTATTGATCGAGTGGAAACTGATTCAAGAACGGCGACTGTGGCATCCAAGGATGACATGAAAGAGATTGTTCTAGTAAAAGGTGACAGACTACAGACAATCGTGAGGCCAGGTGAACAGGAACACAGAAAATATGAAGAAGTAAGAGTGCGCTACTGCAGCCCAATTTCGCACTCGGAACAGAAGAGAATAATGACAATAAGTAACGTGGCACCCGCAAATTATTACTTTGCAATCATTGTAAATGAAATTAGGTATCCAAGCCAATATGGTTTATTTACAAAAAAGGAACAAGTTACAGTATACGACATAGAAAAAATACCTGTATTCTGACATCAATTTAGCATACGTATGTACATTGAAAAAAATATACGAAAATGCTTCACAACTTCCACTGAAAATTGAACTAACTCCTACAAGTTCTTGTTATTATGCAAACAACTCACTAACACACACACATAAACGAAAGTAGTCAGCTAAATATCTAACGATCTTCGACGTGATCGTAAACACTTTTTGATCTTATAATAAAATACAACATAAATGGAGATTGTAGTTATTGGTACTAGACAGAAGACCAGGTGATACAGTTCATTTCTAATCATAAAATAATTTGTATCCAATGTGATCCGGAAAAATACCATCATTGTTTTTTCAATATTTCGCCAAAATTTCAATGTTACAATTAATAAACAGTCAATTAGAAATACTGTTGTACTCATATAATCAATTAAATTATACACACGATTTAAATTCGATCTGAGCATCATCTGTACAGGTGCTCCATCCACAGAATTGCTTCCCATTGCCGTATTAGGAGTGTTGGTGTTAGTCGGTGTTTGAGGTCTTCGACAGAATGGTCTAAGGCAACAGTGGAGCAGGATGATGATAGAGAAAGAGATGCAACACAAGTGAGGAATAATAAAAGTGAATAACGGGTCCATGTAAATTAAAAAGGTATAATAGAATCTGAAATACTCTGATCTGACATCACAACTGACAGTCTCGACTTGAGTGATATTCTTTGTTGAGTCGACATATTTCACAGTATTGATCCAGTGGAATTGACCAAAAACCCATAGATAGTTACACAAGGCAGCAAAGATCAACGCTATAAATAATCCTGTACTAATTTTTAGGCATAATGAATGCAATTTACATCTGTTATGCTCGATGAGACAAAGGTTTGCTGGATGACAGCTCCGGTTGACTGAGTGTACACTGAACAGCACTTTGCATACACGTTCAATCCCAAATAACAGCAAGCTCCATTCTTCGAATAGTAAGAAAAATGCACCGAACATACGTTTCAGTCGACAGTTGATATTCAATTTCAGTTTCAAACCAAATCCAAGGTAGAGGATTAGTAAATTTGATATCCACGGTAGGAGGTTTTCAAATATCAAATAACCAATTTGAGCAAATGCTAAAATTTGTGTTAAAAAACGAAAAATGTGCCAGTTTGTATGTTCTAGGGTGCAGCTGTTATTTTCTGTGATGATCTTTGGTGGAGATGCTGGTGGGGATGTTGACAAGCTTCGAAAATTGGTTGGCGGTCCTGTCATTGCAATTGAGGAATTTGAATTTGTGTACTCGCTACTTTTGTGTACCTCAGTGTATAAATGGTCACATTTAAGTGATTGTCTCGTCGAATTTCGAGAAATTGACGAACTTTCACATTGATCTGCAAGCGTTTTCGTCATGGAGTAATTGTTTATGCATATAGTGGGATTTTTCTGAATCTTCTTGGGAGAATCTTCGATCACGTTGACAGAATTGCCATCAATATCACTATTCGAATAATTTTTTAGCCTTTCTAGCTCAATGTTGGTTGCAACCGGAGATCTGTTGGAAGATTTTGTAAAACATCGAGACTGACACTCAGTCTTGTAAATACAACAACCCCAGTTGACTTCAAACTCACAACAAGAATATGCGGAGCTGGGTGGAGTGATGATCTGATCGTCATCATTCGAAGTTACACAACACTTTGATAAGAAGAATGCCGGGAATGTGTTCTTGTTTGACTGAGATCTGTCCGCCAAATTCCTAATCAGCTTGTCTGTAAAATATGGAATAAAAAACACTTGAAGTTTTAAAAAAATTTAGGAAAAATTAAAATAACACGGGATCAGTAGAATCAGCTTTTACGTAAAAATGATAATGAAATTTAGTCACTACTATTCTTGGCTCCACTTTGCTGGGTTTGTTTTATCGTCAACTGTCTAACTCCCTTGCAGTATTTTGTTTCTAATGTGATGTTAACATATATTACTGGTTAATTTTGCCAGCCATCAATTGCTCTTTTCCCTTTATTTCGATTTATTGTTGAAGCCATTGAATTAACTGGTATGAGTGCTAGTTATGGCGTCAACTAAACCATTAGGATGGTTCCCTCGATAATGGATATATCCGAAATCTGGTGAACGGTCGCAAGCTGCCCATTCGTCATTGTGAATAGTGTGTCAGCTCTAGGATTTCGAATAACTTCCACAATTTACTTCTGACCACAGTTGTATTTCTTCTTTATGAGAACGCCTTCATAGGTATGAACAGTCACACCAACACCATTCAATAGCTATGTGACTGTATTCATCTTCGAATACGCTACATCTCTACAATGCTGGAAACACTGCACAACCACTCCAGCATCAATATCCAATAATGGTACATGGAGAGAATATTTTTCAGCAGTAATTTCAATGTGCGAACCTGAATAACTTAGTGGTAACGTCGCTCACTGCAGGTAGCACTGAGTGACGCGGGTTTGAATCTCAGAAGGGACGTGAGTTCTTCAAGGCTGCAGATACGCTGTGCGTCGGTAGCACAGTGGTTAGGACGCTCGCCGACCATGCACATGGTTCAGGGTTCGATCCCCGACTGACGCACTCCTTTATCTCGCCAATCCAGTAATAAAAAGCCGGTAAAGAAGAAATGTTTGGCATGAGGATAGCAACTTCATCCTGTAAAAATAAAAAACACTGCTACAGAAACTTCAAGCCTCTAACTTGAAGCCCTATGTTCCACTGGGAACGTGAAGGAAGAAAAAAACTTCGATGTAGAAAAGAAAGCCCCAAAAGAACAACAAACTGTCTTTGTAACTTACTATTCCGAAGATACATTCGTTTCCTACATTGTGTACACCTAAATATAAGTGTATCACCTCTTTCTGAACACCGCTGCAGGTACATGGAAGCACTGCAAGAAGATTTACAGCTACGAACTATAAATCCACTCTTCAAGCAGTACTTAAAACGTGATCTGCGTGAAATTCGCTTCATTACTCGGTGAATGGTGTACATATTGGCGCCATAGTAATGATACTCATTGGGAATGTCAGGAAACCTGTGTTCTATTGCAGGAAACCCCTATGTCATTATATAAACAGATTATATTCCTTTGATAAGAACAGTTTTAGCTTCAATTAGGTGCCTCAGAATAAACAGACAGAAAATTTCAATATAGAAACAGACCAATATCACTAAGGAACAAATGAAACGAAAAGCGTGTTCCATTTTAAAAGTCTTTAATTGCCTATTAAAACATGGACACTTCAGTACATTGAAACCGGAAGTCTTAAAATCAACATTTCTAAAGTGTTTCTGATACAAAGTCCTTCTGTCTACGTAAAATAAATAATAATTTGCTTCATTCCGAAATAGAACTGATGGTACAGCAAAGGAATTTCTAGAGTTTGGTACACTTTCACAGCTAAATTACTCGACACTGGCAAAAACGAAAATAGAAATAATATTACAAGATTTCTATTAACAGATTTCTTGATATTTTTAGTGACAATAAAGTCAAAACTGCACGAAAAGTGTAACATAGTGATAATTATATTAACAGCTAAAATTTTAAGATAAAGGAAATAGTGTCCCTATAGATTACAAATAGGAGAGAGTAATACAACCAGTTATTTTGCTAATAACAAAGCAGGTCGTAGATTTCACGCTTAGCATTCCTTCTATCACATAGGTCACGGGACAAATATGGTATCATTGAGCTTTTGCACTTATTTGTACGAACGTATTATCTATCTTTTAGAATTGCGTCTAATCCTGCCTGATGAAATTTAAGATGACAGTTGAGAATAGTGGGTGTGTTGAGAGTCAAACAATATGGATTTCGACCAATTCTTACATGAGTTCAGGTGTCTATCGACTACAGTGTTAACTAGCTCAGTTAATGCCACACCACTCGTCCTAGTGACAACATGTAATACCAAAACACGTATTTTATTTTTTTTATTTTTGATTAAACCTTGATTCCATAGCGTATTTTTGATACAGGTATGGAATGTGATATCGGTAGACCAAATTTTGCAGACCGACCAAAGATATCAGGTGTGCGTCGGCAGGGGATCGAACCTCGGACCATGTGCATGGTTGGCGAGAGTCCTAACCACTGTGCCACCGTCGCAAATTAATTTTGAATATTTGGATTAGGTTGAAGAGGAACATCATACTATACACTTCGCAAGAAGCATATCTACGAGCTCGTGGAAAGCATTTACTAATAGTGGATTCGAACCCATATCACCAGGTCTAGACTAGACAGAATATGAGTGTTTACCCACTAATGACCGGTCAAGGAAACCAGTCATTTGAAATACAGTCCTTCTCTATTATTGATTGAGTAAACATAAATTTACAAAACTAAGTGCAATGCGATTTCTCGCCCAGACGGATTCTTGTTTCACCTTAATATTGATGAAGGCTTTCCAGAAAATACAACCTGGTGAAAAGTACCTCACTGTGATCACAGATTAAAAAAAGGTCAAAGGTCCTTAAACCCTGCCTAATCTACTAGCCACTGGCGAAACCAGAAACTAGGGACAAATCGATGTGAAACTAGAAAGCTAATCTCGTAAAACTGGAAACACCTACTGCTGAAATTTCATTGCTTGAAGCACTACGTTTCACTCAGAACGCAGTGGAATGAGAAGATTTCATTCTCTTAGATGAAGTCCCCTATTCAGACTGGTTTCTTTTTATTTAATTGATTTATCTCATAATTGGTTCAATCCGTTTGATTTCGTCACAGAAAACGTTTGTTTAATCGTACGTTTTAATCAAAAACACGCAAAAGTGATGTTTTCGTGACTAGGAAAAAACACAAAATTATAAAAAAAACAGAATAACATTTTGTTTTCCTCAGTGTAGCAATTAACTGTTTTCTTTCTTAAGCAGCAATTGACTGAAATAAACTAATTGAGTTGAACAGTGAACATGATTTGTTGCTTTTAAAAAATTCCGGAAAACAAAATCACAACTAGAGTGAACATGCTGTTTTCCTTAATTCTGCGTTTTTAAAAACGAGCGACTAACTCTCTCTCTCTGTCATTTTAAATGATGTTTACATGAGGAAGGAGAATAAGAAAGGTGTTTTCTTCGAACTTTTATTTATGAAAAACTAGGAGAAGTTACAGTTCATACACCTACCACACAACTTTATTCAAACTGTCAGACCGATCATGTGAACTTTCGTGAAAGAGATTTTTAAAGATATTTCGAGTGAAACATAACTATTTCACAGTGTTCACTGGAGTTGCATTGAGCTGGCTCTACAAAAACTTATGAGTTTAAATTTCCTGCTGCTTAGACAATCTTCTTCATAACACCCACAGATCGTGAACTGGTCGTTTCCTAATCTGTCTTACCAGGCATAAACGCACGAGATATCACCCAGTGGTCTCCACAGTAATTGCTCAGTGTATCTTCTTTTTCTCGGCACATTATTTAGAAGACAGGTTCCTCGTTGGTTTATGGTCAAAGTTTCTTGTTATGCAACCGTTCCTATCACTCGAGATTTTCTATGGAGACAGAAAAGTGAGGTGTTGTAAATGGCTTCATTATAAAGTCTCTGAACCGTATAGAAGCAGTGATCTGATATCAGATTTGAAGATCCAGTTCTTGTTACTTAAGCCGAGTGCAGCCGGTTTCCACTCTGATATCACAGTAATGAATGCTTGACTTGCTTTCTCGATCTCCCATGGCGTTGACATATTCATCTGTGCCGTCTGACAATCCGTAATGAGGACTAATAATCTTTTGCCGTCGACAAACGCACAGCCTTGAAATGACTGGACAAGAACATTTAATACAGAATTTATCTTTGCCGGTATGTGTCTCATTCCAATCAACGTTTCAATGTGCATTTGTTTGGAAACTGTTGGGTCAATTCTTGATGCTATCTCAAGTATGTTAAAGTGACTACAGCAGCCTAGAAAACTCTCCGAATAAATAGCGATAATAAAAGCAATGATAATGGTGAGTATAACAAATTAATAAAGTCCTTATCTGTAGCATGCGCAGCTGAAGCTATGTTGATTAGGTACGAGAAGAGATTGCCTTTCTCTAGAGTTCTTCTACAGATGAGAAAGACTGATGCTAGTTTGCCAGCCCATCCTGAGTCTATAGAAAGAAGCAAGGTTGGGCGGGAGTCTAACGACCCTTCCCTGGAAAACTCACTGAAGAAACCTCATCTCGAAGTCGAGAGGATTTCAATTTCTAAAATCATAAAGAAGTATATTCTAAATTTTTCTTGGCTGTAATCATTCAGAAAAGTGGATCAGTCTATACCTACATAGGAGAAAAATTCCAGTACACAGTACAGCTTTCATACGGTTCACTTATTACTGTTTTGGATCTTGGAAACAAAAGAAATAACTCGAAATGAAAGTACGCATGAGGATGGCAACAAACCAATGAACATTTAAGTGAAGAATTTAAGATTTCTTCTCAAGTTCTGTTTCTGAAGGTGGTTTAATTACTATGTTAACTAGAATGTACACCAGATAGTTCCTCAGAACCTATGAAGAAGGTGCCTCTGAGAAAATAACGATATTCGAAGAATTGTGGCAGTTTTTAACGATATCATCATTCCTAATCTTTTTAACCACTTTTATCCTCATTTGAATCATTAAAAGCAGTATCTTCCATGATTTGAAAAAATAATGTTCTCTTCAACTAATTATTTTCATGTTCTTACACTTATAAAGGGAAATTGTGATTATCATTGTAATAATAATTATACTAACTGAATTCCTTAACATAATTA